ATAAACACAAGATGTGAGCACGCATGCAGTATCGTACAAAAAAGGGATCCAAAGGTTGTACATCAGATGATTCAACACCTGAACAAACTGTGGAAGAAATGACTGAACTATGTCCTAATCCTGATGAACCGTTGCCTGGTACTAATGTCCAGACTACTACAGATGAAGGTAATGATAACTGACAAAGAAGTAAAAATGATTGTTAAGTTTATGATTAGCCTTTGTAAACACCATACGGAAACATGAAGGATAACGTCCAGCTATGCTGCCTGTTTCACTCAAAACATGACTGCATGGCTCATTAACACACAGCAATCGTTAATAGATTTGATTGACAGGAGCAGAAGCCAATGTCTACTGTTTCAGTATCTATGTAGTACAATGAAAAAAAAACACAGCGCTGGATGGAGTTTTGGTATCAATAATTAATAATAGAGTGGGCGGTATAAAGGATGTGTAGAATGCATACACTCACATATTGGAAAGCATGGAGCACTCAGATTCAAGTGCAGCTATGCACAGTAAGCAATCAGCTTCTAACTGACTGTACTCAACAGTAAAAACCTATAAGCAGAATTTGCATGCTCAAGGTTTGGTACATAACCATCATTGCTCGTGTAAATTGAGTAAAAAAAAAATGCTCCCTTTTTTATATAGACCTGCTGAACATCAAAGAAGAGCATGCAAGATCAGACGACGAAGACTACAACAATATTGCTCAATTCTGTGAGGATGAGGTGCACCTTCCAACTCTTCTAGATGATGATGATGAGGATACTGCACCAGAAGGCCTCTTGAGTGATACTAGAGATGGTGCGGCTTCCAAAGAGGCATACAGTGATACAGAGTCAAGCACTCGTGAGTATATTACACAAACATATCTACTTACCTCACAATACTCGTTGTCACATATACATACTTAATGAATTTTTCTTCTAGGTCATTTTTGAATAGAGCAACTGCAGCTAGGATCACTGTGCATTAATGGAGGATATGGAAGATTCAATCACAGCAATGCAGCAAAAACTGAATGATTGTGTTGATATTTTAAACAAGCTCTAGTTTTTCCATATTTTTAAAATATTTTTGTGGCTTTATGTTCTGATTTTGAACACGTAACATTAATCTTTTACACAAACAGTATCTGTGGCAGAAAAAAATATATTTTTAACTTAAAAAAAAAAAGTGATTGGTTAATAAAAACTTCATAAATAAATATATATATAAATATATGTAAACAAAAATATTGATAAAGGTTGCCAGATTTTCCTGTGCAGCTGATTCTCTAACATTTTCTATAATACTGCATTTGCACCTTTGATAAAAAAAAAGTAGTATGTGCATAAAAGTTATCTTCATACATTTGTGCAAAAGGTTAACAATGTCCTTTATGTTTACTTCAATAGTATATACATCTCCAGCTTTGGACAAGTGGCAATGCTGCTGTGTTTGTTTATCTGTTGAAAGTGATCATGTTCATATATTACGAATGTTACTTGAGGCCTAAGCACTTTGCACTTATATAACCATTTTGCACTACTGTTTTAATATTTGTTGTGCTTGTAGCCTTCTCTTGGAATGTTTACGTCTCTTTTATTACGGCAAGAAAAAGATATGTGGTTTTGTACTTCTTTTTTTCAAATAATAAAAAAACATGTCACACAATAAATACCGTTTATAAACATTTCCTGGTGTCTTCCATGGATTTGCGCTTGCAATGGCTTTTGTTGATAGATTGAGTAGGTAATTCAGTTAATTTAATTTTAGGGTAAAAAACTACATTCATGGGTGATATTACACAAGAAAACAAAACTACATATATAGCGGTTAAAATAAACACATCACCATTTTTCCAGGTAAATATATACTCATCGGTCACCTTATTAGATACACCTGTTCACTTGCTTGGTAACACAAATTGCTAATCAGCCAATCACGCCAGCAAATCAATGCATTTGGACATGTAGATGTAGAGACGATGACTTGTTGAAGTTCAAACCAAGCATCAGAATGTTGGAGAAAGGGGATTTAAGTGACTTTGAACATGGCATGGTTGTTGGTGCCAGAAGGTCTCCGAATGGTCCAAAAAAAAAGAAAATATCAAGTGAGTGGCAGTTGTGTGGAGGAAATTGGATTGTTGATGTCAGAAGAGAATGAGCATTCAATTTCAGCTGCGACATTCAGATGGTAGGGTCAGAATTTGGCATACAAAACATGAAAGCATGGATACATCCTGTCTTGTATCAACAACTCAGACTGGTGGTGGTGTAATAGTGTGGGGGATATTTTCTTGGCACTAGCAAGGTGTAATAAAGAGGCTGGTGAATGTATTTCTAAAGGTGCTATTAGCATGACATTCTTTATCACATGTCGATATTGACCCATGCAATCCATACATACAACAAATCCAAAACAAATAAGTTCAGAAATTAAATGTGTAATATAATGGAATGATATGTCAATAGCACCTTTAGAAATGTATTTACCTAGGAAAATGGTGAAATGTTCAATACTTTACCCACTGTATAATTGTATAAACAGTGCAATTTAAATTTTTCAAACATAAAACATAATTATACTATGATCTATATCTTAAAACAAAAAAAATTAGAATATAATTTTGATATATACACAAATAACAGCAATGAGTATAATATAGTTTATTACATTACATATATACATAAATAGTGATACATAAACATATACGGTAATATGCAGAATTTTATGATAATTCTGCTTTCATTATCTCATTAGGCCAATCTACTTTTAACATTTGGATTTTTCGTTCGTGTTTACGAATATTCCTTGGGCATAAACATCAGGGTCATCTTGTGTTTCCGCTCATGTGTGATAGCGCTTGATAGATTTTTTTCGTACGACCTTCATACCACCGCATATAAAATCGGTCGTTCACATGCGAAACGACAAAATTTTTCAGTGTTGTTTAACCATTTTTTTTGTTCACAATATCGATATCGGTTATAACATCCTACTCATCAACAAAGAGAAAATCGGTCGATCATTTGATCAACAAAATTTTTCATACTATTTTCTTACCGTGTATTCCTGCCATTAGATGGAAAGAAGCTGATCCCCTTCAATTTGTTTTTAACGGATTGGATACAGTGGATTGGCGTAAGGCCAATGTGGTGCCAATATTTAAAAAGGGGTCAAAATCTTTACCAAGTAATTATAGACCTGTTAGTTTATCTTCTATAGTTGGGAAGATACTGGAGAGTTTAATAAAAGACCACATAGATGAGTTCTTGCTGAAAAAAAATATTTTAAGCAACAGACAGCATGGATTCATAAAAGACAGAAGTTGTCAAACAAATCTGATTTCTTTTTATGAGGAGGTGAGCAAACCTTGGACAAAGGGGTGGCTGGGAACGTGGTATACTTGGATTTTACATCAGTGGTCCATATAGTGAACTCGGTGTAGAGTTATTCACCCTGAGGTCATCACAGAGGACAAGGGGGTGCTCTTTACTTCTGGAGGAAAAGAAATTTAATCTAACACAGAAAGGTTTCTTCACAGTAAGAGCTGAGAAAATGTGGAATAGACTCCCTCAAGAGTTGGTTCTGGCCAGCTCAGTGGATTGCTTTAAAAAAGGCCTGGATTCTTTCCTAGATACACAAAATATAACTGGATACTAACATTTATAGGTAAAGTTGATCCAGGGAATATCCAATTGCCTCTTGGAGGATCAGGAAGGATTTTTTTTCCTTGCTGGAGCAAATTAGATCATGCTTTGCTCCTGCTGGATCAACTGTGGATTCAGCAGGAGCTGATCCACAGCTCCTGCTGGATCAACTTTCCGCTGGATCAACTGTGGTTGTAGGATTATAACTTTTTTTTTTTTTAATGGTTGAACTGGATGGACTTGTGTCTATTTTTTCAGCCAAACTAACTCTGTAACTATGGATAGGAGGCAGGTGGGTGTAAATGGACACAAGTCTGTTAATACCTGCCAGCTCATAGGAATACATGGACCATCCGATCAGGTCCATCAGTGAGTTTTTCGGGCAGACCTGACTGGGGGTCCTTGTATTCCTATGGGCTGGTGGGTGTAAACAGACTTGAAAGGGGCCTAAAGATAATTAAAGTAGTCCATTTATCAGTGGGAAAAGAGATTCAGCTTTGCACAGTGAACTACTGTAACACACTAAGGTAAACTACACTTGGCAAAACAATGAAAATGTTAATATTTGCTGTCATGGATTAGACAGGAAATCAGTGATTCTTACAGCATATGACTGTAAAATATGCCCCCAAAGGCAAAAGCAATTTTTGTTAAATACAAACTGTGTACAGACAAGCACATATCAGGAAATGTGTATAGAATACATCAGATCACACACATGGCAAAACTGTCCTGCTTAAGGTCACGTGTCACAAACACAAAAATAACCAATAATGTTGCTAAAATGTTCAGGATATTTGTAATGATCTGCACAAATTGCTCTCTGTTCACAGATCATGGGCAGATAGTTCTCTCTCCTCTCTTGGAATGAATGATAAAGTTCAGACTGCAGGACCTGCATGCTCATCTCTGCCACCTGCTGGACGTCCATTATTACTATGGTCATGCTCACAATTTAGTTCTACAACTGGCCTCATTAGTAATGTTTAATTTGCCTACCGGGCACTTTTACTCCCTTCCTGCCCAGGCCAATTTTCAGCCTCCAGTGCTGTCGCACTTAAAATGACAATTGCGCAGTCATGCAACACTGTACCCAAACAAAATTTGTATCATTTTTTTGAGACAAATATAGCTTTCTTTTAGTGGTATTTAATCACCACCGTGTTTTTATGTTTTGCTAAATAAACTAAAAAAGGCTAAACATTTTGCAAAAAAAAAAAAGTTTTTTTCTTAGTTTCTGTCATAAAATATTGTAAATAAGTAATTTTTCTTCTTCACTGATGTGCGTTAATGAGGCTGCAGTGATGGGCACTGATAGGCTACACTGATAGGTGGCACTGATGAAGAGGCATTGATAGGTGGCACTGAGAGCATTGACAGGCATCACTGGTGGGCACTGAAAGGCAGCACTCATATATGGCACTGATAGGTGGTACTGACGGGCACTGATAGGAGGCACTGACTGGCACTGATAGGCAGCACTGATTGGAACTGTTAGGAGGCATTGAAGGGCACTGATAGGAGCAACTGACTGGCACTGATAGACGGCACTGACTGGCACTGATAGTTGGCACTGAAAGGCAGCTCTGATGGACACTGATATGTGGCATTGATGTGCATTGATGGGAACTGCTATGTGGCATTGATGTGCTCTGCTGGGCACTGGTATGTGGCATTGATGAGGCACTGACAGGTGTCAATTATGGGCACTGAAAGGCAGCACTGATGGGGCTACACTAATAATCAGGGCACTGATGGTCAATTGCCCTGATGATCAGTGTAAATGTCCCCCTCTGAGGAATGCTGCTTACTGTTAACATGAGGAGAGGACTACCAATAACCGGAATTTCCTATTTGCATGCGATTAGCTGTGATTAGACACAGCTGATCACATGATAGAGTCTGTGTCATCGGCTCTTTACTGCGATCGGTGATCCACTATGTCCCAGGGATAGAGAGCACCATCGATCGCCGCGCACCCCCGGGGCGTGCATGCGCAGCTAGTGTAGGACATAGAGTCATATGACGTCCTTGCAGAACAAGAGAGACTCCACCCATCCGTCATTTCCTTATATGGCGGGTGGGAGGATGTTAACTAAAGCCCAACTCCAGGCAAAAATGAAATGTAAAAATGCTGCATTGAGCATCAGTTACCTTCATCCTCAGCCTTGATTCTGAACATCTCTTCCTAAGCCATCCTCCAGTATAACGGATGAAAGGCACAGCTTCCTCTATGAGCCAAGCGCATTTCTCAGCATTTTCCAGACATTTTTCATTCATTATCTTCTTGGTCTCCTCACCACCCCAGTGAGCTCTTCTGCCTCTGGAGAGAGGATCCGGCCAATGGAATTGTTGCCTTCATCAACAGCAGGTGAGGCCTTTCCTCAGGCAGTGATGTGGACACCCAAAGAGGGACCCCAGGAAGTAAACAGAAGGATAGAGAAGGATGGTCATGTGACTGTGGCTTCAGTTAAATAACATGGGCATTTGGGTAGTTTTTTTTCATACCAAGTCAGCTGCATCAGTTTTTATGATGGCAATTTGCACATATTCCAGAATGTTATGAAGAGTGATCAGAAGAATTGCAATTAATTTCAAAGCCCCTCTTTGCCATGGAAATGAACTCTCAGTCCCAAAAAAACATTTCCACTGCATTTCAGCCCTGCTATAAAAGGACCAGCTGACATCATGTCAGTGATTCTCTCCTAACACAGGTGTCAGTGTTGACGAGGACAAGGCTGGAGATCACTCTGTCATGCTGATTGAGTTAGAATAACAGACTGGAAGCCTTTAAAGGAGGGTGCGGCTTGAAATCATTGTTCTTCCTCTGGTAACTGTGGTTACCTGTATGGAAACATGTGCAGTCATCATTGCTTTGCACAAAAAAGGATTCACAGACAATGATATTGCTGCTACTAAGATTGCACCTAAATCAACTATTTATCAGATCATCAAAAACTTGAAGGAGAGAGTTTCAGTTGTTTGTGAAGAAGGCTTAAGGGTGCCCAAGAAAGTCTAGCAAATGCCAGGACCTTCTCCTAAAGTTGATTCAGCTGCGGGATTGGGGCACCACCAGTGCAGAGCTTGTTCAGGAATGGCAGCAGGCAGGTATGAGTTCATCTGCACGCACAGTGAGGCAAAGACTTTTGGATGATGGCCTGGTGTCAAGAAAAGCAGAAAAGAAGCCACTTCTCTCCAGGAAAAACATCAGGACAGACTAATATTCTGCAAAAGGTACAGGGATTGGACTGCTGAGGACTGGGGCAAAGTCCTCTTTCTGATTGTTTGGGACATCCGGAAAAAACTTTGTCCGGAGAAGAAAAGGTGAGCACTACGATGAGTCCTATGTCATGCCAACAGTAAAGCATCCTGAGACCATTCATGTGTGGGGCTGCTTCTCAGCCAAGGGAGTGGACTCGCTCACAACTCTGCCTAAGAACACAGCCATGAATAAAGAATGGTACAAAAACATCCTTCAAGAGCAACTTCTCCCAACCATCCATTTGGTGATGGACAATGCCTTTTCCAGCATGATGGAGCACCCTGCTATAAGGCAAAAGTGATAACTAAGTGGCTTGGGGAACAAAACATCGAAATTTTGGATTCATGGCCCGGGAACTCCCCAGACCTTGTGGTCAATCCCCAAGAGGCAGATGAACAACTCCCCCCCCCCCCCAAATTCTGACAAACTCCAGGCATTGACTATGCAAGAATGGGCTGCCATCAGTCAGGATGTGGCCCAGAATTTGATTGACAGCAAGCCAGGGTAATTTGCAGAGGTCTTGAAAAAGAAGGGTCAACACTGCAAATATTGACTCTTTGCATAAACTTCATATAGTTGTCAATAAAAGCCTTTGACACTTATGAAATGCTTCTAATTATACTTCAGTATACCATAGTAGAATCTGACAAAAAGATCTAACACTGAAGCAGCAGACCATGCGAAAATTAATATTTGTGTCATTCTGAAAACTTTTGGCCACGGCTGTACTTCTCAGGGTTTGATGTAAATACTTTTCTGCGAAGAGTATTCCCAGATCCATACAACCCGTAGACCTTGCTCTGCTCCCCAGCCAGGTCTCTTACTTCCAGACTAGAGCTGTAGGAGGACTGCCAATGCGACAAGGCCGGAGTTCTCATACTGACAGGTAATATCAGTAAATACAGAACTGATCTAATCTACCTATATCAGGTGCTTCAAACAGTATTTAACCCAAAAGCAAACGTTTATTATATTGCAGCTTACCAATTCTAAGATGTGATGGCTGCATTTGGTTTTTTTTTTCTATTTTTTCATCTGGTGATCCAGCCAGTAAGTCTTCTGTTTTGCTAAAGAAGAAACTCTGTTCCAGATATTTCAGTTTTCAGAGATGGGACTAACCATTCAGCACTGACAGGGATGCTTACAATGATCAGCTTTTATTTTTTAATCTTTTTTAAAATAAAAATGCCGCCTTGCTGACTACACATTGCTTCCATTTTGGGGCCTCATCCTTTCTACCATTGTATAATAATGCTGCTAAACTCTACTGTTTCTGCAGTAGAACAAGAGATCTTCCAAGAGGAGAGTATGGAGGTCTGTAAGAACGAGATAAAAAAAAAGTAATGATGTACAAATAAATGCAACCCCTTTATATTTAAACATATCCATGTTTAATATTTTTTTAACTGATTAATGGTTTCTGGGGTTAGGGGGCGGCATGCAGCTCAAATTTGAGGACCATGCAGGTCCAACACACACAGTTAAAAAAGAAAGTGCAGAACTGAATCTTCTAAATTATCCTAACCTTAAAAGCTAAGTTCACCTTTTCCAGCAATAGCCTATGAAATCAACAGACTCCAGTAGTAGATATTAAAAAACAGTTCATTTTTGTAAAATGTTAATTCATTTTATTCTCATATCTATAGGCCATTAGGATCATCCTGGAAGCCTAATCAAAAAACTCCCTATTAGCCACCCCCATGTCATGCCTTGTTGCTAGGACACAAAAAAAAATTGGATGTTCGCTCCTAGCAACAAGAAAAGACATCTGCATTGCTAACTGGAAGTTTTTTCATACAGGCTTCCAAGGAGCCCAAATGGCCTACAGATATGATAACAAAATTAGTGACCATTTTTCAAAGCTGCACAGTTTTTTAATTTATTTATTAAGAACTACTAGGACCCCTTGATTGCATCGGCTATTTTCTGGAAAATATGAAGTTAGCCATTAAGATCTCCTGCCCTCAGGCATTTCGAATTCGCAATATTTCACAGACTTTTAAATAATGCTTCAACTATGGTGATGTCCTTTAGGTCTTTACATTTAGATATCTATAGAGAGAAGATGGTGGCCATCAAAAATGGCTGCATTGGGTGGTGATCTGTCTATAAACAGACCCTGTAGACAAGACTATCAGACATTTTTCTAGGTAGTAAGGGATAAAACAACTTACAAAACCTTGTTCAATGGCTATTATTTGTGACAAAATAAGCTGGTGCTGGAGATAATGGTTTGTGCCATCTCCATACTATTCCATAGGCTTACACTTGCATGTATGTTTAAGGTAGTAGAGGGTTAGCCAGATCTGGCCTGTGTAGCAGACCATCCTTATATGTCTAAGGGCACCTTTAGGACATTGCAATACAGATCCCATACCTTTGGTCACTAACATTGTTGTCTGCCATCTTGATTACGGTCTGTGACTGGCCTGTGACATATGCGCCGCCTATCATTAGTAGGACACACTTACCACTTACTAGTTCTGCCACACTAGCATTCCTTTTTTTATTTGTAAAGTTAAAAGTTCCGGTTTGACTTTTGATGTCCCTCATGTATATACAGTTGTGTTCAAAATAATAGCAGTCAGACATCACTAACCTGATCAATCACTGTTTTTGGTAGAAATGATATTTCTACATGGCAAATAATTTACTAGCAGGTGTAGTAGAATAATAGAAATCCAACAGACCCAACAGTCATGACATGCATGCTGCTGATTCTGTGTAATTGAATCACTAATTGAAAGGGGCATGTTCAAAATAATAGCAGTGTGGAGTTCTATTAGTGAGGTCATTCATTCTTTGAAAAACAGGTGACAATTATTGCCCTTATTTAAGGAAGGAAGGCAGCAAATGTTGTACATGCTGGTTACAGTGCATTTCTCTCTGAAATTCTGAGGAAAATGGGTCATTCCAGACATTGTTCAGAAGAACAGCGTACCTTGATTATAAAGTTGATTGGAGAGGGGAAAACATATAAAGAAGAGCAGAAAATGATAGGCTGCTCAAACACTGCTATGTTTTTGAACAGTCTAATATTCACTTTTCTTAAATTTTCTTAGAGGAACAATACAAATTTGATATATTTTTCTTCATGTTTTGATTTGGAATAGAATGTGTGTAGTGTTCCCAATGCATTTGTGTTTATGGAAATAAAAGCTATTAGAAGGATTTTTAGCTTTATTCACTTTTTTCAACACACTATTATTATTTTGAACACAACTGTATATGTCTTCTAATTGTAACAGTACTCCAAATCAAAACATGAAGAAAAATATATCAAATTTGTGTTGTTCCTCTAAAAAAATTGAAGAAAAGTGAATATTAGACTGTTCAAAAAAATAGCAGTGTTTGTATTCTTCTTTACAAACTCAAACATTCACTGTATAAACTGAAAAATGTTTGAAGATTTTGCTTTCCTTTGAATCATTTAATCATTTAGTTGTATAAGCACTGTTTC